GTGCGGTGCGCACCGCACGAGAGCCGCGAGCCTGGAGCCCGGCCCCAGCTCGCCCTCCCGGCCTCCCCGCCGCGGCAGCGGCTCCCTCGCCCAGGCCCCTCACCAGGCAGGTCCAGAGGAAGTGGCGGGCGCTGAGGCCCCTCTCCCAGGCCAGAGTGCAGAACAGGGTGTGCCGAAGGGGCCACCGGAGCAGCACCGCGCAGCGGTACAGGGCAAACTTGGCCTGCTGCAGGGGCAGCCGGCGCAGGGGTCAGCGGCCGCCCGGGCGCTCCGCGCAGGAGGGCTGTCCGCTCCCCAGACCACGAGCTTCATGTGGGGTCTGAGGCCCGGTGCCGTCCTCCGAGGCCGTCCTCTCAGCCGCCCTCCGCCCCGGGCCAGCCCTCACTGCTGCCCCAGGCGGCCCCATTCCTCCCATTCCCTTTGGAACTGGCCGCGTGTTGCCCGTCTTCCCGACGGCCAGGATCCTGGGGAGCCGGGCTGTGTCTTACTGGCCACAGCACAGGGCACGGCTGGCGCCTGGGGAAGCTTGATCATTTCACCACGTTCAGTGAACGACCCGAGCCTCCAGCCTGTGTCCGGTGCTGGGGACACAGCCGTGAGTGCAACAGGCCGGGTCCTGCCCCCACGGACCGCACAGCTGCGCGTGTGCACAGGGTGGACCTCAGTCCACCAGGGAAGACACCCCGGGTCCACACTGCTGCCCCAGGGAGCAGCCTTGCCCTCGGGCGGCCCTACCGCCATCTGCAGAGCCTCAGCCCCCGGCCCCCACCCCTCACGGCCACCTGTGGGTCCCCAGCCCCGCCCAGGAGAAAGCCCCTCAGCAGGCACTGACCGTGACGACCGCCGGACAGCGGTCCTTCAGGTGCAGGAGCAGGGGCACCATGCTCTGGTGTACCTGGGTCCGCAGGCCGCTTAGCTCCCTGCCCGCCACGGCTGCCACCAGGTCCCCGAACAATGCCATGGCCGCCGCTCGGATCCCATCCCGCTCCTGCGAGGCAGGGGCTCAGAGCCTCAGCCGAACCCGCCTGGGGCCCCCATCCCCACCCAACCGGGACCCCCACCCTGTGGAGGGGATGGGGCTCAGTTCCTGCGGCTGAGCCCCTTCCCCAGGCTCTGGGCTCCCGGGGCAGGGCCGTGCCTCCCCACGTCAGACAGGCCCCCTCGCGGGTCCCAGGCCTTCCGCAAGGACCTGAACTCATGTCTCCTTCACTCACAATCTCATCCTGACTACCCAAGGGTCACGAATGCGGCTGGGGGAGGGGGCGGAGCTCATCCCTCTAGTTCCCCAGTGAAGGGAAACAGTCCTTGTGGACGCGGGACAAGTCGGGAAGGTGAGGACCGCGGGGCTGAAGGGGTGAAGGCTGCCTCGGGTCCAGCCTCGTGGAGCAGGGGCCGAGCGCCACCTGGCGGCCACTCGGCCCGGCTCGGCCCAGGTGTCCCAGTTGCACACCCAGGTATCTCCCCGGGGTCTCCCCAGCCCAGGTGGAGGGAGCTGGGGTCCCCTGCCTTTGAGGACCAGGGGTAGGCACAGGAGGGGCACAGGTAGGGGCACCCTGCCTCCACCCGGGGGCACTCACGTCATCAAAAAAGAAGCGGGCGTTGATGGCGACCCCGAGGCTTTGGGCGCCCGCACCGTGTGCCCCCAGGCGGTGCAGCATGTCCGACACGGTGCCCATGACCTGCACGACCACCTGCTCGCTGTTCTGGAAGAAGCCGTCGAGGAAGGGCGGCAGCTGTCCACGGAGCAGGCTTCCCTGGGGGTGGTGGGGGCCAGTGGGCTGAGGGCGCCGGGACGGGCTACTCCTGTGCCCTGCCCCAGCCTGCCAGTTGCACCTGGAACCAACTCGGGCCCTCCCCCGCGGCCCCTCCCCAGCCCCCATCCTGGCCTGGGCACCTGCATCCCCCTGCATGCCTGCCCGGCACTGTGCCCCCACCTTGCTGGGATCCCATCCTGGCTCTGCTCACAGGGCAGCTGTGCTCCTAGCTCTGGTCTGCCCACAGGAGCTGTGTGGGCAGGGATGGGGCTTTCCCTCTCTGAGGGGGGCCTCCCGGGGTTAAGGGATATTAACCCCTGGCTAGTGGGCTCCCAGCTGCTTCTTCTTCCGCCTGTCCCCATGCTGGCCAGAAGGCCCCTCGCCCAGTCCTGGAGACCACCCTCCCCTTCCTCCTCCTCACCCTGCCTTCGCCCCCGTTCCCGGCCTCCCTGTGGGTCAGCCGGGGCCTGGGGGCAGGACGAGACAAGGTTGGTGAGGTGTGCATGGACTGAGCTCACTGGCCCCTCCCATCACAATGACCACTTGCCACATTTACACTACTTTACACAAGACTGAGTTCATTTTCAGCCAGTTCTGTCTGCTCGTCTTGTTTGCCTGGCGATGGATAACTGTCCAGATGAACGGCTGGACGGCAAGATGTCGGCAAATGGATGTTTCCCGCCATTGGGCCCCTTGATAGCGTGTGAGAGCCAGGGTGATTTTTACAACTTTAAAACAAGTTTTAGGCCACATCATTGGCTTCCTGAGCTGTTTGGTTTACAATATTAAACTTTTTCAGCCAATGAGTCAATTAACAGCAACAAACCCTTTCTGAGCATCTACTGGGCCCAGTGAGGGTGCTGGGATAGGACCAGGGTTCTGGCAGAGGATGGAATAGGCAGAATGGGGTTTAATGGGAAAGACCAGAAATAAATGAAGCACGCACAACACAATGCGTGTCAGAGGGTGGCAAGCAATCTGAGAGAAGAGGGGATGGAGCAGGCTGCAGTGGAGGCCGTGGGGGTGGTGGTGGTTAAAAATATTTAATTTTAAGTGACTAGGATCAGAGAAAGTGTCACCAAGAAGGTGACCACTGAGGGAATTCTTACAGAGGTGCTGGAAAACCATACCAGCATAGGGCGCAGCATGTGCAAAGGCCCTGAGGCAGGAGCACACCTGCTCTGTTTGTGAGCAGAGGAGAGACTGATTCAGATCATCACAGGAGCCTACTGGCTGCTGGGGGGGGGGCTGCACCGAAAAGGAGAAGGGGCAGCTGTTGGGACCAGGCAGGGGGGTGTAGTGGTCTGGGGGAGATGCTGGAGGTTTCAGTGAGGGCAGCAGGGCAGTGGGAGAACAGGTGCATTCTAGGTTTGCTTGTGATGGGTGGGTGGATGAATGGATGGATAGGCAGATGGGTGGGTGGATGGGCAGATGGATGGATGGACAGATGGACGGATGGACAGATGGATGGGCAGATGGGTGGGTGGATGAATGGATAGGTGGACGGATGGATGGGTGGAAGGGTGTATAGGTACAGGGAGGAGTGGATGGGCAGATGAATGAGGAAGTGCTAATCTCCCTTACTAAGTACCTACGATGTGCCATGTGCAGGGCAAAGGGCTTTGCCAGGAGCGACCTTAATGGAGATCTCTTAACCATGCGGAGACATGTAAGGTGAACAAAATGGGAGTGAAGTGAGCTGACAGGCAGAAGGCTGCAGAATCTCTTTGGAACCTGGCCCTGGCATGGCCCCTCTGCCATCAGACGCTTTCTGCCACAAGCCCTGAAAGTCCTTATGTTCAGCAGAAGAGATGGCGTCTGGGCATCTTGCCGTCTTCTTGGGTGTTCATGTAGCCCCTGAGGTGGATGGGGGAGGTGGAGGCCGTGTACCTCTGGATCAGGTGGGAAAATCTCTCTGACATTTCTCTTGTATGGCAGCAGTCACCGGCAGGTCCCCCACCGGGGCCAGGGATAAAAGGCTGCAGCCTGTGACAGCAAATGGCTGGAGGACTCAGCTGCATGGACTCAGCACGGCACTCATTGACAGGTGCTATGACCACTCCCCTGTCACAGAGATGGACACTGACTCCTGCCAAGGCGCTGAAGAAACGTGCCCGCTAGAAAGTGCTGGGGTGAGGATGGGATGGGCCTGGTAACCTGCTGGGTCACCTGAGCGCCCCACCGTGGCATGGCGCCCTAGGAAGCCACAGCAGGGGCGACATCGGGCTCCAGTGAGATGGCCAGATGCCCCGGGGGCTGTGTCTCGAGCCTTCTCTCCTGCCTCTTTGCTAAGGCCCCCTGCTGTTCATCATGGGATGTGGGCTGTTCCAGTGATGGGGGGTTGGATGGGGATGGATGGGTCACCGGGGGATGGAAAGTCCTGCCCCTGAGATTCTCAGGGCAAGTTCCCCCCTGAGGGCCAGGCTTGGGTGCCACCTGGTGGGCCCCTCCTTGGCCCCTGGAGGTCTGCGATAGTGTTGTCTCCCTCCTGGGTGTGGAGGGGACATCATCCCCGGGGAATAGACACTCTACCCCTCCCACAACCCTACCGAGAGGCCATCACCAGCCCCATTCTACAGATGAGGACACTGGGGGCTGGAGAGGTGGTCACGTGTCCCCAGCTACACTGCGGGAAGGGACAGAGCCAGGATTCCAACCCAGTAGGCCCATCCACACCCCATGCACCCAGCTGCTCTGGTGGGGTGTGTATGTGTGTATGCGACAGGCCCTTACCTTCTCTGGGTGGAAAAGGATGTTTCCTAGGCCCTGCAGGCTCAACACACGGACCTCAGGGCTGGGGTCCCTGAGGCTTCGGGCCAGCGCAGTCAGGGCAGCCTGTCTGGGGAGCACCTCCAGCAGGGCAGGGCTGTAGAGGAACTGGGGCAGTCCCCAGGGGCAGGCGGGTCAGGCCTGGCACCTTCTTGTAGGGAGCCTCCGTCTGCGTCTGGGGGCAGGGCTCGAGGACCGGGGTCTGGCAGGGGTGTTGGGGAGGGCTGTGGGTCAGCACTCTCTGGGTATCTTGGCTAACACGTATTTGAAACTCACCCCCACGCTGCCTCAACTCTTCCATGTATGGCTGGGAAGCCAAAGCCCAGAGGGGGAAAGAGCCTTGCCTGATGTCACACAGCAAGGCTGGGGCCAATGTACAGCCATGGCCTGGCTCATGGGACACCTGGGGATGGAGCCCCGCAGAGGGTGGCTCAGACCTTCCTGCTGTGGGTGGGGTGGGGAGCGGCACCGGGCTTTGGTTTGGGGTTCTCCCTGTTATGGAGATGCCACACCAGCCCCGCCATGGCCCCAGCCTCAGTGGCAAGGCCGGCCACACCCCCGCGCCTCTCCAGTTCTAACCAGGGCCCTCTTGGCCTCCCAGGCCCTGGGGCGGAGCTGAGCCCAGTTCTGCCTGACCGGCCAGCTCTATGGGGGTCAGGCCAGGGAGGGCGAGGTGGACTGACAGGTTCGTCCAGGCCACAGGCTGACGGGGGCCTGAGAAGTGGGGGGCCCAGCCAGGATCCCCAGGCCGTGGACCGCCCTGGAGCCAGAAGGGGAAAGGAAGGGGTAGGAGGGGTCATCTGGATGGGCCTCCATCCAGGCAAGGTCCTGAGGGGGGCTCTGAGGCAGCTGGAGGAAGAGGCTGTGTCTGAGGGCTCCCCCTCTCCCTGCCCAGGCGCCTACCTCAGTGAGGATGAGGATGGCCGCCTTCCTCTCCCGCTCCTCCTTGCTCTGCAGGCTGGGCAGCAGCAGGCCGGTCACTGCCTTGATCTGCTTGCAGTGGTTCTGCACCATGGCCCTGGGGCGAGGGGAGGAGGGCAGGGCAGGGCCTGGGCGTGCGGGTGCGGCCCGGGCTCCACCTGCCACCACCCCCAGGCCCAGCAGGTGGGGCTGGGCACCCATTGCTTGGAGTTTTTGTGATGCCCCTCTGTACCCCCTGGCCGCCCACTGGTTTCCAGGCCTGGGCTGGGTGTGTGGGAGACAGAGGAGCAGGCCCCTGGTGGCCTCCGGCCGGGGTGGAGCTAGCTGAAGACGCCTGTACCCACGGGCTCCGGGTGGGTGTGCGTGTGACCAGGCCCGAGGACGCGTGTGAGTTCGTGGGGGCTGTGCTCACGGGCGGGCCCTGGAGGTCACCATGGCCAATACACTCAGCTTCCTGGGCAGGTGGTGGCCTGGGTCAGGCCCTGTCCCCTGCCCTGGCCCCCCTCCTACCTGGCCAGGAGACCCACGCCCTGCGGGTAGGTGTGGATGGTGGTGAAGAGCTTCCAGGCGCCCTGCAGCTCCAGGTGTGCAAAGTCCTGCCAGTGCCCCGTGGTGGACAGCAGACTTTTCAGCGCTTCCAGGGACGTGCTGCGGGGGGATAGGGGGGTCACGGGCCAGCCCTGCCACTGGGGACAGGGCCCGCTGGCCTGGGTGGAAAGGTCCATTCTGGTTCCTGTCCTGGCCCAGGGCCCCAGCAGCCCTGAGGCCTCCCTGCGGGTGAGGCCTGGTATGGGCGGGAGCTGTGCTGGCTGAGGGGGCAGCAGGAGTCCATTCAGGCCCCTGGCCTGGGCTCTAGGATCAGTTGCTGGGTCAGGAGACTGGAGGTGCCCCTTTAGGAGTGGGGGGCACTGTGGGAGGGTGTGAGATTGGCCTGGGGCACAGACAGTGTGAGATGTGCCTGGAGCATCTCAGGGGGCCCCTGGTTGTGTCCGGGGCTGGCTTTCCGAGGCCGCAGCTCTGGGGACAGGGCTGGAGATCAGTGGGCTCCCACGGCTCGGGGTACAGAGGGGCCCGGCTGAGCCTTGGGGGATGGTGCCATTTAAATGTGGGGCTGAGAACCCGAAGAGGGTGCTGCGGGGAGGGAGGAGGCGAGCTGGGGAGCATGGTGTCCTGCGAGCCCGGAGAAGTGTCCCCTTGCCACCCTGGACGCCGCTCTGCCCTCAGGGGACACAGGTTCCACTGGCCACAGGTGCGTGTGCGCTCAGGAAAGTACACCAGACACAAAGCAAGGCAGGACCTTGTGCTCATCGGCTACCAGAGGTGCGAGTGCTCTGTCCTGGTCACGTGGCCCGCCGGGACAGCGGAGGCAAAGCCCAGCTCGGCCCCCAGCTCCAAGCCCGCTTAGCGATGTTTCGGTTATAGGCCCAGGGCTGCCCCTAGCTCTGCAGGCGGGACATGGGGAGAAGGCGGGGAATGCAGGCCCCGGAATAGCAGGGCGGCCCCACTCGGTGGCCTGTCTCCCATCCCAGCCACCCTGCGCCTTGTCACATCTGCCTGGCCCCGTGTGACTTGTTGAATCACCCTGGATGTGTGAGCAAGGCCCCAGGATGAGGCTGTCAGCTCTGACCAGGCATGATTCTGAGCAACACCCAGTGTCAAGGGATGGAGTTCCACGCCGTCAAAGTCCCCGGTGGCGTCAACCCAACGCCAGGTGGCTGGTCCTGTCACCCCAAGATAGGCCCCTGAAAGCAGCATTTTCCAGGTCACTGGTCTCAGCCAGAGTGACGACAGTTTCAGGAGAAGGGGACGTCAGGGTGGAGTAGCGCTCTGTCCCTTCCGTGTCGACTCTTGGAAGCTTCCGGTCCCCGGGCACCCAGGCCATCAGTATGCAGGGTTGCCGTGCCCCAGCAGCTGCACCGGGGCTCTGGAAGACGGCATTCGGCCGACTTGGGCATTCTCGGGTGGATCAGCACCCCCTGCAGGACCCTGAAATCTGGAACCACCCCCAGCCTAGGACGCCCAGTGATGCCCAGCCACGCGCGTGGCCTGGAATCCACGCAGCCCCCAGACCAACTGGACACGGAGGCCCTTGAGCATGAGCCCGGCCATGCGGGTTCCGAGGCTGTCCCCCCTCAGCCTGACCCCAGCGACGCCCGCCCCAGGGGCAGCCGGACTGCACCCCCCGACACCCGACGGTGAACTTGTACGGTAGCCTTCGGCTGTGGTAGAACGCACGCGACACATTTCCCATGTTACCCGCTTCTGCGACGGTTCGGCGGAACTAAGCGCATTTCGCATCGTCCAGCTGTGGAAAGTGTCCCCGTTCCAGGGCACGCCCCTCCCCCAGCCCCGGGCGCCCCCCGTCCGCGCTCCGTCTGCAGGGGCGTGGCGGCTCCAGGCCCTCCGCGCAGTGCGGCTCGTGCGGTGTGTGTCCCTCGGGGACCGGCTGATCTGGCGCAGCGCCCGTGAGCACACGGCGCAGCCCTGTTGTAGCGGGTCAGCATGGCCCCCGGTTTCCTGATCCGGGCATCCGGTGACGGACACTGGGGCGGCTTCCACATCGTGGCTCCTGGGAAGGATGCTGCTGTGCACACGGTGGGTGGGCAGCCGGGTCGCTGTCTCGGGCCACCTGCCCAGACCTGGGACAGCTGGATCACGTGGTGATTCTGTGTTTGACCCTTCGAGGAGCTGTCCCACTGTTTTCCGCAGTGGCTGCACCATTTTACAGCCCCACCCTCGGGGGCTGTGTTGGGAGGTGGCCGTCCTCCCGCGTGTGAGGGTCTCCTGTGTCACCAGCATCTGCCGCCTTGGCTGCGCGTGCGGACGGGCTGAGGGGAGCAGGGCGGGGCGGGTGTGCGAAGCCTGCGTGGGGTGGGCACCGAGCTGGGCGTCCCGAGCATCGTCCGTCTGACCCCCCGACGCTTCGGGCACCGTCCGCTGGGGTCCCCAGCAGTGCCATGCGGACATGAGGCCCTGGCCTCGTCTTTTGGGCCTGGAGTCCAGACGCCCTCTCAGGAGTCCCCCGGTCTCATGTGAGCCGCAGGAGGGCAGCGCTGGGTCCTCCTCACCCGGACAATGCCCACTCTGGCCACCCACCCCCAGTGCTGATCAGACCCTGCCACTCCCTCTGCACAGAGCCCTCCGTGGCTCCCCACTGCTCTGGTATATAGGCTGACTTCGAGGCCTCCTTCCTGTGCCCTCCCTGCTGCCCCCTCCCCCTAAGTCTCTCTGCCCTCCCTGCCCCCACCCAGGGACTTCAACCATCAGTCAGGTGTCAGCTCAGGTGTTCGGTCCTCAGGGACCACACGGCAGGTTGCATGCTCCGGGTCATCCTCTGTGGAGGCGGTGACTCTCAGGGCCCTCTCCGTAGTGAGTCATCTGTCCGTCTGTCACCGGGCCATCACCTGACCCCCTCTGCGTTTCCCGGGGCTGTGAGCTCCTGAGCAGAGGGACCCATCTCTGGTGATCAGCGTGGTCTGGGGCACAGCAAGCGCCTGCCGGTACCGAAGTGCCGACAGTGGGGACACAATGGCCCCTACAAATGCTGACAAGGACGGCCGTCCATCAGGCCTTCTACTTCTCCTTTCCTCCAAGAGCTGTAGGGAGCATGGAGTGGGGGTGGGGGCACGGCTGAGGCCACCGGCCAAGGGTCGGCTGGGCCAGGAGAGGAGGCAGGTCTGGGCAGGGCTGCGGGGACCCCGGGGTGGTAAGAGAGGACAGAGGCTGGGACAGGGTGCCATGTCGGCTCCTCCCTGCTCCGGAGTCCTTGCTCACCTCCCTGGGAAGTCACACCTCCCTGCAGATTCCAGGGCCCCCAAGACCATGACATACCAACTGGGCAAATGGACAAGGTGCTGGGGCTGGGGTCAGGCAATCGAACCCTCACCTTCCCCTTCACCGAGTGTTGGCCACTTGTCCAGGGTCACTCATTAGGTTGGGTCCAGAACAGAGGCTGCCCAGTCCACCAACGCTCCTGACACTCACAGCCATGAGGGCAGGGACCCCTGTCACCATACAGAGTGCTCATGGGGGAGGTTAGGATGGGGTCTTGGATCTCAGATCCAGGCCCGGACAGCATATCATTACTAATTGCTTGTTGGTTCCTTGTCAAGTGCCAAAACCCAGGACTGTGGACTGTGTTTTAAGTAAAAAATCTTTAAATTTAAAGCTTTAGGTTTATTTTTATCTATTTATTTTTAAAGCTTTAAGTTTAAAAGACAAGTAATCAGGAGACGAGAAGCAAAAAGAAGGACCAGGCACTATAGGGAGGTACTGAAAATTAACTTTAAATATGAGCTTCCAGGGGTGCCTGGGTGGCTCAGTCATTAAGCGTCTGCCTTCAGCTCAGGTCATGATCCCAGGGTCCTGGGATCGAGCCCCCCATCGGGCTCCCTGCTCTGCAGGGAAGCCTGCTTCTCCCTCTCCCACTCTCCCTGCTTGTGTTCCCTCTCTGGCTGTCTTTCTCTCTGTCAAATAAATAAAACCTTAAAAAAATAAATAAATATGAGCTTACTGGCAGCCAGGGCAAAAGGAAAATATGGTGGTTGTACTTATAAGTGGTCCGAGAGAGTGTCTGAAATAAAGAGAAATCAGATGCCCCATGAGAATTAAAGAGTCAATCCATGATGGAGAAACTAAAGGAAGCCCCCTTTGTGGGGCAGGATGGACATTGACTGGAGGAGGACCTAGCTGAGAACTGACTGAAGCAGTTACTGTCTCTAAGAAAGGGGCTCTGTTTGTCAGAGATGCAAAGGAAAGAGAAGGTCGCCCAGGCAGGGCTGGCCATGATTTTGCAGCCCCGCCAGGGCGAGGATGCCATGCCCAAACCCCCACTTGCTGGTCCCAGAGGCCGGCCCAGCTCCGCAGGATGCCGGGGACCTCGGAGCCCTAGGAGTCTGAACTGCCTCTAGGCTCACTGAGCTGCCACCCAGTGTCCGGTGCCATCTCCACGCGGCCAGGGGCACCCACAAGACAGGAAGCCTCTCAGCTGTGGGTGTCCAGATCCCCTCCTTGGCCTTGTCCCCCTAGATGGTGCCAAAGCTGCCAGGCATCAGAGCCTGGATGGCAGGGATCCACCTGGGTGACAATGCCCTCTGAGGCCCTGGGAGCGGCTGCCAACCTCCCGACAACCCCTGGCCATTGGCTGGCATCGCTGTTGGTTGGCCTGTCCTTCCTTCGGGCCCCTTTGGGTTTCCCTCTGGGTAAGGTGGGGCCCAAGTCTTGTGCCTGCTCCGGGGAGGGTATGGGAGCCCCACCTGGGCAATTAGAGTCCCACACGCTCCTGTGGCCCAGATGATCGGTTCAGGGGTAAGCATGTGATCTAAGACAGGCCAGTCAGAGCCAATGGGCTACGCCTGGGGTGAGAGTCTGTCCCTCAGTTGCTGGGGTCACCTCCCTCCGCTCTGGAGAGGACTCACCTAGAGAGAGGCCCAGCAGCTGGGGTGGGGCGAGAGGGCAGGTGCTGTTTGAGCATGTCCATCCAGCCGGTCAGAAAAGAAGGCTCCCAAAGTGACCCAGTGAGACAGACGGACACCTGTGCTCTCTGTGGGAACCCAGTGAGACGGACGGACGTCTGTGCTCTCTATGAGAACCCCAGTGAGACAGACGGACACCTGGGCTCTCCGAGGGAGCCCAGTGAGACAGATGGACACCTGTGGTCTCTATGGGAGCCCCAGTGAGGCGGACGGACACCGGTGCTCTCCGTGGGAACCCAGTGAGACGGACGGACACCTGTGCTCTCGGTGAGAGCCCAGTGAGACGGACGGACACCTGTCCTCTCTGAGGGAACCCAGTGAGACAGACAGACACCTGTGCTCTCCGTGGGAACCCAGTGAGACAGACGGACACCTGTGGTCTCTATGGGAGCCCCAGTGAGACGGACGGACAGCTGTGCTCTCGGTGGGAGCCCAGTGAGACGGACAGACAGCTGTGCTCTCCGTGGGAGCCCCAGTGAGACAGATGGACACCTGGGCTCTCTGTGGGAACCCAGTGCGACGAGGGACACCTGTGCTCCCTGGGAGTTTCCATTCCACAGGGTGCAGATAAGAGTTGGTAGGCTGTGCTGGCCTTGGGAGTGGAACAGCAGCGCGGGAGTAGGACCACTATTTTAGAGAAGGTGCTTTGAGAGACTCACGGGAGGTTAGGCTATCTGGGGCCGAGCATTCCAGGAAGAGGGGGCAGGAAGTGCAAAGGCGCTGAGGCAAAAGCACTCTGGGTTTAAGGAACAGCAGGGAGACCTCTGAGGCCGGAGCAGACCGTGTGAGCAAGGGGTGTGTGGCAGGAAATGGGGTCCTGGAGGCAACAGGGAGCCAGAGGGAGAGGGGCCTTTGGGCCACTGAAAGGATCTGGCTCTTTCTGAATTAGGTGGGGAGGGACAAGGAGGCATGGGGCCATGGACATGTTTTGAATCTGGGCTGCAGCGTGGAGGCAGGTGAGTGGGCTGGGGGTGGGGGGAGGTGGGGGGCAGGAGAGCAGGGAGGCTGGGTCCATGCGGGCAGGTGCAGGGCTGGCGGGGAGCGGATGGAGGGAGATGGTTCACTGCAGCTCCCCCCTAGCCCTCCTACGTACGTTCTGGGAGGAGAACGTTTTATTAGCTTATTAGGGAGATTCATGCAGTTTGCATGGTCGATCTGAATAAAAAAGGAACTTTATGCATATTCGAATTCACAAGCAATATGAGAAGAGACATTTTTTTCCAGTGACGCGCCTTGGGTAGAGCTGTTATAACTGACAAATTACGTGAAGCACATCGTAATACAAACAAATGAAGAGTCAGCCCCAGCGTTTTTTAAACACTAGCTTGTTGGATTTCTCAAGACATGACCTAGCGTGGAGGGAGGGCAAGGCAGCCAGCCTGGACAGTGGCGGAATATAGCTGGGTGCGGACCCTCCTACACACGGGTCCCGTCCATGATGCGCAGCGGGGGGGGGGGGGGGGGGGGGGGGCAGAGGCCGCAACTGTCACGTCAGGGCAAAAATGCACCAGGGTCAGAGCCATGCACAAGGGGACCCAGAGGGGCTCAGCAGTGGCCAGGGCCCTGCCCTGCCATTCCACAGTCTCTAGCTCAGCTACTCATGGGCATGCTGTGTGTCTTGGGGAAAGCCTCTAACCCTCTCTGAGCCTCAGGTTCCTTATGTGTACAGTGGGGAAGACAACATTCATCTCACGGAATTCCTGCAAGGACCACATTAAGGGAAGATGGCAAGGGCTGTTCCGTGAAGTCCTCACCTGCTAGCAGGCACTGAGTGTCTCTGCTGCCAAGTGACCTCGGGGAGCCCGGGAACAGACCCCATGCCTGCCCTGAGTCCCTCCGTGCTGACTGCTGCACTGACCATCGTGGTGTTCAGGGGTTGACTTGTGTCCCACCAAAGCTGTGCCCAAGTCCTAAACCCTGTACCTGTGAATGTGCCCTTATTTGGAAACAGGGTCTTTGCAGCTGGAATCGAGTTAGGACGAGGCCAGTAGGTTGGCCCTAATCCGGTATGACTGGTGTCCTTATATGAAAGGGAAACCGGCACAGAGACACGCAGGGGAGAGCAGCAGGTGAAGAGGGACGCAGAGGGGGCAGCGACGTCGGCAGGCCAGGGAGCACCGGGAGAGGAAGAGGCCGGGAGCGTCCTCCCCTACAGGCTTCAGAGGGAGCGCGGCCCCGCTGACGCCTTGCACTTGGACTCGAGCTTCCAGAGTCGAGCCTGCAGGCGCGTGCATCTGTGAGCCGCCGGGTGCTACTGCGCTCTCAGCTCTAGGAAGCTAATACCCGTCTTTGTCCACGTCCCTGCAGGTGGAGCCTGCGCTCCAGGCTTACCTCTGCGGGCTGGACGTGGCCGCCTCGGGGGCCTTCTGGCCGGGCTGGGGCTCCTCCAGCAGGTTCAGCTCCAAGATGTAGTGCGTCTGGGTGAGGAGGGCCAGGAGCATCTCGGGGTAGGCCTCTTGCACCGCCTTCTTGAACTCGCGGGCAAACTGCAGCTCATGCAGGGTGTTCATGGCCTGTCGGGGGCAGGGGCATGTCTGACCTGCATCTTCCTCCTGTCACAGCCTCCGGGACCAGGGCCATATCTCTGAGATGTCCCTCGGGGGGCCCTGGCCCTCTTGGTTCCCTCCCTGGACCCACTTGAGGGCCTGTGCCCTCCATCCCAGCAAGTCCCGGGACAGCGCCCCCACCGGCCCGTTCTGTCTGCAGTCCGCCCGTGTCCAGCCCCTGATCCGTGGCCTGGCAACAAGGCGGCATGGGTCTGTGCTCCCCATGGGACGTCACCACAGAGGTCTCTAATGAGTGACAGCCGGGGGGACACATGACCCCGGAAGGCAGGGCTACCAGACAGCAGCTCCGAGCTTCCTGTGCCCATCGGAGCATTCGGTCCAGAACATTCTTGGGGTGGAGGACAGCACTGGGCAGTCATGACAAGGGCAGGCCAAGGCTTGGGGTGTGGCGGGACACGGAGGAGGCCCCCTGCTGGCCCCATGCTGCTGTGTGGTTTCCGACAGGAAGGGCCGGCAGCAGCGGGGGGCTGGGGTGCTCAGGAGAAGGACCGAGGGCCGGGCATAGACACAGGGTGGAGCTCCCCTCTGCTGCCGTGTTCAGCCATCGCACATCTGTGCTCAGGCAGCAGCGTGTCTAGGGGGCTCCGGGTGGGGAGGGGCTCTGGGGGGCTCTGGGGGGGGGGGTGTGGGTCTCAGCCTGGGAGAAAACGGGCTCGGGCCACAGCTGCTGCCTCATCAGAGTCCAGCCAAGGACAGGTGTGGCCGTGTTAGGACGTGAGCCCCTGTTCCTGTGGCCGTGCAGGGAGAAGGGCTGGCTTGGGTCGGGGGTGGGCAGGGGGTTCCTACAGGAGGCAAGAGGCAGCCTCAAGATTCCTCCAAAATCTACAGCCCCAGGCCCCAAGTGTGGACAGAGGGGCCACCATTGTCCCCACACTCTTCCTCCGCCGGAACCTGCCTCCCGAAGCCCTTGTGCTCCGAGGCCACCCGCCCAGCGAGTCCCACATCCTGGGTATGCGCCACGCACCTGGTCCAGCCCTTCAGGACCACCACTGTCCCACTTCTTGGAGGGGGGACAGGCTCTGTAGCAGTCCAGAGCCCTTGGCCAGGAAGTGGGGGGTTGGGCCTGTGCGGTCAGCCCCTGCCCTGCAGCCTCGGAGGCCCCCTGTGGGTCGGCTTCCACGGCCTGGACACGGGGCTGCCCCTCCCTGGGGCTGGGCGCCCCGAGGCTGCGCCCGATGCCGCCAGTATGGACACGCGCACGAGAGGCCAGCCCCCACTCGGCGGCAGCCGGGGCGGTGTCCAGGGAGCGGCGGCGGACACTCACAGCGAGCGAGCGCAGGCGGGGCTTGTCCTTGGGCTGGGGGCTGCCGTCTCTGGCCCCGGCGGGCAGTGGCCGCTCCCGCAGCCAGGCCAGCAGCATGGCCAGTACCAGGCGGCTCACGGGCTGCTCGGCCCCCAGGGCCCTCCACAAGCGGAAGGCGTGGCTGCAGGCAAAGAGGGGTCATGAGGGCAGCCCTGCTCGCGCTCAGCCGCACCAGCAGGCCACCAGGGCCTCAGGGGCCAAGGGAGGAGGCTGGGCTGGATCCCGCGTCGGACCCTGGCCGCGGGGAGCCCCTGGGGTGGAGGAGAGCATGGAGGGGAGAGTGGGCAGCAGGGACAGGAGTGTGTGTGGCCTGTGGGACAGGCGGGAGACAGAGGGACAGCCGCCCTGGTTCAGGTGCCTGGGCCTCCCCACTTCCAGGGTCTGTCTTCCAGGCTCCCCGCACCCCAACTTCAGACTCTCTGTCCCCTCAAAGGCTCCTAAGTACTGACAGGACACATGCAGTTGACTCCTGCCCTCTGTCCTCTTCTCTTGCCTCTGGGCCTCCACATCTGCCATTGTTCCCCGTGCTTAGAGCACGCCTCCCCACCGGGCCTGCACCCACTCAGCCGTCAGCACCTCTGCCTGGAGGCCTGCCCTGGCTGCCTCCTCCTAGCCTGGGTTTGCTGGGGTCCAGCTCTCGGGCCCACCCCGGGTCAAGTGGGTCCATCAGCAGTATACACAGAGCTTTACAGTGTCCTTGTGCTCATTTTGCAGATGGGGAAACTGAGGACTGATCGGGCCCTGCCTGTGACTGGGGAGCTGGGGCTAGAGGCCAGGCCTGCCCGGTCCTGTGGTCTTTCCATTTGGTCCACGGACATGGACCTGTGAGTCCTGGGGAGGCGTGGGCTTTGGGGCTCCTGAGATGTCGGTGACCCTGACGGCTCTCTGTTTTCTGTGGTCTTTGGTGCCGAGTGCTGGGTGGAAGGGGCTGGAGGGGCAGGGGTGGGGACTGGGAGGCCACAGTGGGGGCCTGGATAAGCCCCCACCCCAGCTTTAGGACAGACCCTGGGCTGGGTGGGCACAGCAGCTCCGAGGACTCTGAGATTGTAGAGCGGGGCCTCTGTTGTCAGAAGGACCCTGGCCGAGTCCCTGCTGTGTCATCACGGCTGTGCGACCATGGGCAGGTCTCCGGGGGCAGAGCCTGACTCGAGAGGCTTAGGTGACATGCTTCTGCAGGAGCGAGGGCGCCCAGGGGCCTGGGTTTCTCCTTTGCTCTGTTGGCATGTGGGTGTTTTGCCCCCTGTCACGTGCGGGCAACCAACTCGGGGACAGAGCAGTGACAGAACCAGTAAAGTCCTTGCCTGTGTGGGAGTGACCCTAAGGTTCGACTCAGCCAGCAAACAAGGGTGTGTCGGACTAGTGCATAAAGCAGGGGAGGGGAGGGGATGGAGGATAGGAGGGGGGCGGTGGGAGGGTGCATCTGGGCTGTGGTCAGTTTTTAGTGGGACAGCTGGGAAGCCTTCACCAAAAAGGGACACAAGCAAAGATCTGCGGAGGTAAGTGGGGAGCCACGCTGCTCTGGGGGGTGGGGGGAGGAGAACCTTCTGGCCTTGACACGGAGCTGATCTTGGTGTTCTCAGGGCCAGCAAGAAGGGCCAGTGAGGTTGGGGTGAAGAGAATGGGGCTGGGCGAGGAGGACAGGCGGTGCGTGGGGCCAGGCCACACGACCTTGCTGGCTACTGGGAAGGTTTTGCCTTGACTTTGATGAGGTGGGGCCGCTGAGGGTCTGCAGCGAGGGAGAGACGTGGTCCGACTTCTCTCTAAAGCCTCACTCCGGCTGCTGGGAGGGAGGGGTGGACACGGCCAGGGACTCCGTGTGAGCCGGCGACGTCCTGACGGGCTGGAGGGGACGGGGGAGGGGCGTGGGTAGAGCTGCAGGACCCCTTGAGGATGGGCCTGGGTGTGGACAGGACAGTCCAGGTGGCCCCAGGAACTCTGGTTCGAGAAGCTGGGCAGATGACATCAGCATGGGGAAGCCCGCAAGAGGACAGGTTTCGGGGACGGCCAGCGGCGTGGTCCGGGAGTGTCCAGCGTGGAATGCCTCCTGGACACCCACGTGCTGCCGTCTGGCGGGGGTGAACTTTCGGGGGGTGTCTGTATAGGTGATATATTTAGCCCACAGGGTTAGAGGCGGCCACCAGGAAGGGGAGTGTGAGTGAGGGGAGCTCTGGGGACTGAGCCCCGTGGCACCGAGCCCCGTGGCCCCGTGCTGAGAGACGGGGAGACAGGAGGGACTGGCAGGAGGCGAAGCAGGGGCAGCTGGGAGGTGGGAGGAGAGCCAGGAAAAGACATGGAGGAACCTGAAATGCATATTGCTGAGGACTAGAAGCCCGTCCGAAAGGCTCCACGCTGTACAGTTCCAAATCCATGACCTTCTGGAAAAGGCAAAACCACGGAGACAGTAGAAGATCGGTGGTTGCGAGGGTCCAGGGGGACCGAAGGTTGTTCCGGCAGTGACGCTACTCTGTAGGACGTGCGAGCGGTGGACACACTGCACACTGTCCAAGCCCACAGGACGCACAGCACCAGGGGCGAGCCCTGTCCAGCCGTGGGCTTTCGTTAATGATGATGCGTCAGTACCGCCCTCGGGCTGGAGCAAACACACCGCCCCACGCAGGGTGCTAGCAGAGGACAACACCGGTGGGGAATTACTTCTATAAACATAAAACTGCTCCAAAAAAGAACGACTATTAATTAAGAAAAAAGGGCTGGGAAGAGACACGTGACACATGATTAAGGAAAGAAAACCCGGTGCTGCTGGATTTATGTTACGACAGACAACCCGCATCTGAAAATCTGTGTTAATATCGGGCCAGAAGAAAGAAGTCTCCAAAGACAACACACAACACCATACTCTTCAATACAATTGCAAAAACCACAAGAGAATATTTTTAGGAATATGTTTAGCTGCAATAAAGTGAAAAAGAAATGAAGAGGGTGATGAGCCTTGGTGGGGGGTGAGCCGGCGGCTGGAGACTGGGGGTGCTCAGCCCTGTCCATAAGGTCATGACCGAGATCCCAGCTTTCTGCGGGCGGCAGCCTTGCCGGCGTGTATTCATCGACTAAAAGGAGCCAGTGCTGTAAGAATTAAAGGCAGGCGGGCCACGCATACAGTGATGATGGACAGCGTGACCCGCCAGGGGTGTGCAGCTGAGGGCTGACCCAACAAAGTCGCCGTCAACGGGTAAAAGAGAAACACGGGAGAAAAAGAAAGAAAACTTGGCAAGCCAAGTGTAAGACCATTTAGAAATGCAAAATGCGAAGGGCCCAGAGCAGCGGGGCAGGTGTTGAGGCAGGAGCCGGGAGGCCGTTCTGTATCAGGTGCAGAGAACGTGTATGATGCTACAGGAATTAGGACCGTGGGTGTCAGCACGGGGACCGGCGAGCGGAGCACTGCTGAACCCAGACACAGACCCCTGCCCACGGGCACTTGGCTGGGAGGCAGGTAGCACTGCGAGCTGTAGGCACGGGGTGGGCTTGTCCCTGAAGGATGCTGGTGGCTACACAGAACTGGAGTCCGACTTCACGGCCACACCAGCCTCACTTACGGGGTGGCTGGAGACCTGAGCTTGAAAGGCAATCGCCGGAACTTTTGTAAGATCATGTGTGGGAAGGACTGAACCTGGAACTCCTTTTCATCAAAACGCACATTCAGGCAGCGAAAAGACAAGCTGCAGAGTGCAAGGAGATGCTTTTCACACCATCAACAAAGGCCTTGTGTCCAGGTTACATAAAGGATTCCTGGGAATGGATAAGAAAAAGGGGGACAACCCAGTGGAAGGATGGATCCGATCCTTGACGAAGAGATCACCAAGGAAGATACCCCAATGTTCTGATGGCCAAATGTTCCGCTCCGTTATTTCATTAGGAACGTGCAAATGAATGTCGCAATGCGACTCATACCACCGGGTTGCTAACATTTTGATGAGCGGCTAGAAAGTCGGGGCCAAGTGCGGATGAAACGTGGAGCAACAGAAGCTCTCAAAAATATCCCCGGTGGGAGTGTGAGGTGACATGAGCACTTTGGAAAACGATTCAATGTGTCTGTTAAAGTTGGGTACTTGCATACTGGGTATTTACCCCAAAGATACAAAAGTAGGGATCCGAAAGGGTATGTGCACCCTGATGTTTATAGCAGCAATGTCCACAATAGCCAAACTGTGGAAAGAGCCAAGATGTCCATCGACAGATGAATGGATAAAGAAGATGTGGTATATATATACAATGGAATATTATGCAGCCATCAAAAGGAATGAAATCTTGCCATTTGCAACGACGTGGGTGGAAATGGAGGGTATTATGCTGAGCGAAATAAGTCAAACAGAGAAAGACATGTATCATATGATCTCACTGATATGAGGAATTCTTAATTGTAGGAAACAAACTGAGGGTTGCTGGAGTGGGGGGTGGGGTGGGAGGGATGGGGTGGCTGGGTGATAGACATTGGGGAGGGTATGTGCTATGGTGAACGCTGTGAATTGTGCAGGACTGTTGAATCACAGATCTGTACCTCTGAAACAAATAATGCAATATTTGTTGAGAAAAAAAAAAAGAAGAAGATAGCAGGAGGGGAAGAATGAAGGGGGGGAAATCGGAGGGGGAGATGAACCATGAGAGACTGTGGACTCTGAGAGACAAACTGAGGGTTCTAGAGGGGAGGGAGGTGGGGGGATGGGTTAGCCTGGTGATGGGTATTAAAGAGGGCACGTTCTGCATGGAGCACTGGGTGTTATGCACAAACAATGAATCATGGAACACTACATCTAAAACTAATGATGTAATGTATGGGGATTAACATAAGAATAAAAAAATAAAGTAAAAAAAAAAAGTTGGGTATGTGCAGAGCTTTATGGCGCCGACGTTTGCGTGCTGAACACACCGCGGTGGAGACGGAGCGCCGATGCGCACGAAGACGTGTGGGAGCATGTCAGGGCGCGTTAGTCACAGACCCAGGCCGGGGACAACCCAAATGTGCGTCTGTGGCAGAAAGGATGATCGGCATTCACGAGATACTAAACGGCAACAAGAAGGAATGAACTCCAGCTATATGTAACATATTGGAATGAATTGTAAACACGTATCGTTGAGGGGAAAAAGCCACATAACATAAAAGATTATCAGCAGGGTACCTACTACCCAATTCTGTTCACAGTGTTAGGGCATGTCGCATTGTTTTAGGTGCTTCTAAGAAATAAAAATTATCCCAGGTGGGAAGCTACCCCCATCACAGAGGTGGGACCCCAAGGGCCCTGTGTTCCGTGTAAGGATGATAAGAACCAACCCACCCACCTGCAGAAAGAAAAAGCCAGGAACCCTGCCGGCCTCAGTCGGAGCACTAGATGGAAGGAGGGCCTTCTCCCGAGAGTCCGAATCACAAAACCTGTTTTGGGGTCTGAATTCACACCACCAGTGTGGCTCAAAGAAACCCTCAGGCACAGACTTTTAAATCTGGCATGGTCCCAGGCCAACAGTGTCCCTGGGTGACTGAGAAGCCCACATAAATCCAGGGGTAAGGCACCCTCGATGTAAAATGCATTCCCACCTAGGAAAAATGTGCTTCTTAGGATGGAGGAAATAAGGTATAAACGGCAATGCAGACCGAGGTGAGCTACAGACTTCCGGGCAGCTGAAGACAAGGTGGCCTCCAGGGTCCTCACCCTTCAAGGTTCCTTGAAAAACCACACAGAGCAAGAGGGAGGGAAAAGTAAAATTGCACAGAGACTGTGACCTCAGAGGATGCCCAAACTTTGACATCACTGTAAACAAACAAGAGAAACGCCCGTCGCCACCCACCCGGGGCTCTGGGACAGATGAGGCAGAAGAGACAGCAAGGCACAGGGCATGGGAGCCAGAAACAGGGCTCAGAGTCGAACCACTCACCTCCAGGAAGATGAAGTCCATCCCCAGTCCGACAAGAGGGAAAAAGGAGAAAAAAAGAGCACTGACCACGAGAAAGGGGCTGATGAGCTGGTCCAATCGGAAGGGTGGACTCCAAGATGCACAGCTCTGGGGAGAGAAACAGGGGAAAAAGAACCGGGGCCTTGGGGATTGGGTGGTGACAGGGACAATGGGAAAGAGGAAAATGGAAGGCCCTGCGAGAGAAAAAAGAACCAAAACCCCCCAAAAAACAACCCCCCAACTGGAGGACACACGACCTTTTCACCTGCCACCAAGAAAAAGAATCTACTAAATCCTCTGGACTTTGCTCTACTAACAGAAGAGGGTGCCATTGAACTTGAAATCCTATAAAACATGCCAACAGCGTTTGATAGGAACAGGAACAAAATTAACAGATCCACTGAGTTATTGCAAAAAACCCCCCCAAAAAATAAAACAGAAAAAATAATCCGTGCACAACCAAAGAGGAACTGCTCCCCTCCAAAGCAGCCACTGTGCCGAGAGCACTCCGGACGATGCTCCTCAGACTCCAGTGAGCTCCCAGAGACAGGTAAAGCCACCTTGAATTATAACTTCAAAAAATAAAAAAAAAAAACCTCCATAAAGAAAGGAAAAGAGGGTTGACTGAGTTCAGGAAAGAGGTGGAAGAAAGGACAAACTTATCTCAGAAGTGGAAAAAAATGCAAGGTGCCCAAGAGGGATGATAAGATGTAAGCTAAGGGGCATTGAGGAAAAGCAGAAACCCAACCACAAAAGGCGTGAAAAAGATCAGAAAGTACTGGAGGTCGAGGACGGTCAGGAACAGCACTGGAATTTCTAGCAGTTCAGAAGGACAAGTGCAGCAGGGGAACAGAACGAATGTTTCAAGCTATCACCAGAGAACTTTCCAGAAACAACAACAACAGAAGGCCTACATCTACATCTTCAAAGGATCTACCAGGTCCCTGGGAGAATGAACACAGAATGATCAACTCTGAGCCATCTCTTAATAAAACTGTTCAATTTCAAAGGTGAGCAAACACCGTCCAAGGCATCCGGGAAGAAGGACCTCTTACAAAGGCAAACATCTTGACAAAGGCAAAAAAATAAATCATGATCATTAGACTTTTCAATAACAAAGCAAGGCGACACTTGAGCAGCATTTGAAAAATACTCAATAAAAGCAAGTGTGAACCAAGGATTTTATGTCCAGCCAAGTTGTCCTTCAAGCACACAGGAGCCCCTCAGGAGCCGTCTGTCAGAGGTGGGTCTGGTCAGCGCAGAGAGGACTAGAAGCCTCCGGCAGAGGATGCACAACGAAAGCTTCAACAACAAAACAAGGGACGGAGGACATTAAAATAGGCCAGGAGCATTAGCATGACAACCACTGCAAAAATACACTTCTTCTTTAATTAAAAACATTAAGGATCAAAGAATACACAACCCGTAGAAAAGGGAAGTAATAGAGCCCACGAAACATGCACACAACTATGGGATATTAGGACAGAGCGGAGACTCCACACACCAGTTGTGTGAATAAGTGTGAAGGAAGGATTTACCTCACTTATTAGACATGACTGGTGTGTGACAAACACACACCGGGCAAGAGGGACAAACGAAGAAAGCAGAGGTGCTTCTGTTGTCCTGAGAACAGACAAGGTCGAATTCGAGGCCAGGACACATTAAATGTGACAAGGTGGGGCACTTCTCAATGCTCACAAGTCGTGATTCCTAAGGAAGGTATATGTTTGCACAAAAAACATGACAATCACGTATGACGTAAAAACCGCAGGACACGGAAGGGTCCGTGGACAGAAACGCGTTAGTAATGACTTCAACGTGCCGTTCTCAGTACGAGACAGAACAGAGGGGACATCAGTGAAATCAGTGACGACCACAGTCCATCAGGCGCATCCGTGGATATACATACAACACCACCTGATGAAGAAGATACACCCTCTTCCCAAGTGCCCGTAGAACATTCACGACAGTTGTTCAAAAGGGCAGCAAATCCCAATAAGGCAGAAACATTACAATGGCATTCTCTGATCCCAATGCAAAAAAACTGGAAATTACAGAAACACAAGGACCCTTGCACATGGAAATCAGAAATCTTTCTGGAAATGAGTCTCGGGTGCTGGGAGCTTGTGGGAGTTCTCTTCTGGGAGCTTCTGATTTCTCAGTGGGATGGGAGCCAGGTTGGCGGCAGAGGGAAGGGGCAGGGTGGAGGCAGAGAGGTGTGTGGCTGGGAATTCAAAATGGGGAGCTTTAACTGAGGGAGGTTTTGCCAGCTGAGTGTGACAGAGGGGATAAGGGGCTTGGGTATGTCCAGGGAGTAACTAATGCTGGAAGGAGGGGGTGAGGATGGGTGAGGGGTGCTGAGAAGGTGAGTGGGTGGTGGACTGGAGGCTGTGGAGGGCAGGTACCCTCACGGGGGTACCGGCGGAGGTAAGCTGTGAGGGGTGGTGGGGAGGGTGGAGAGAAATGCTCCAGATTGGAGGTGTCCGAGCCAAGAGGATGACTGTGGGAGTGGGCGGTTGAGGCAGGATGGAGGACAGGATTGCTGGGAGAGAGGAGATCCAGGCATTGAGAAGTGAGGCTGAAGGAAAACCCCAAGATTCAGACAGGGGGTGTGAGTGAGACGGTGTCCGTGATTGGGAGCGACATCTGCGAGGACCTAGGGATGACGCAGTGCAGATGCATGGTGGATGTGTAGCTGGGGTTATAGACGGAGCACCTGGGGTTCAGAGCTGAGATCTGGGGGAGGCAGAGGACCCTAGCCCAGCTCCAGACTCGGGGGTCTGAGGGTTTCATGAGAAAGCCAGCCCCACCTGAGAGGAGTGTGGTGACCACTGGGGGTGGGGGAGGAAGGAGAGGTCCTTGGAGGATCAGGAAGGATGGCAAGACTTTGATGTTGGCTGGGGTCTTGCCAGGCGCACCCCAGGTCCTGGGCACTTTCCCCATGAGGTGACAGGTGATTGAGGCTGGGGTGGGGGTAGAATGAATGGTGAGCCGTGCCTCCCCAGAGCCTGCCTCAGAAGATGTGCAATAAATGAATGGGGACGTGGGCTCCCTCCCTGGGCCCAGACCTGTGGGGCTCCCTGTGGGCTGGGAGGGGGCAGGCAGGAGGGCAGAGCTGGAGGTGGAGGCCCCACCCCCTGCCTGGGGGAGGCTGGAGGGTGGGCAGTGGGGGCAGTGAGGGAGGGTGGGGCCGGGCACCTGTCCAGGGGTATGGAGAAGTCCAGGAAGGTGGCCACCAACTCCTGTGTGTGGTTCCGGGCTAGCAGGGTGATGGCGTGCAGAGCATTTTCTTTGGCTTGGGGGATGCGGACAGAGCAGAGCTGCAAGTGGATGGCCCGGCCCAGGTTGGCAACCTGTGTAGGGAGGCAGAATTAGGGGGGAGACGGCTGGTCTGAGAGGGGAGGCGAGGCCCCGCCCAGCGAAGTCTGAGGGAGGCACTTCTCCACCCTGGAGTCCCAGGCTGAGGGGAGAGAGGCCCCACCACTTTCCGTGTGGCATGGGAGGCCCTCAGCCTGCGTCCAAACACTGCCCGGTCCCTGGAAGGCTCAGACACACCCACCTCACGTCTCCCGAGCACACCACTTTGGCGCAGGCTGTCCTGGGGGCCTGGAAGGCCTCTCCCCAACCACTTCCGGTCTCTCTTGCTGCCCAGGTCCAGTGCCCACCTGGGGCTTCCTTACCTGCAGGACTTGGCATCCATCATCCTGTTTCTGGGGGGCACCCCCACCCCACTGAGGGCACTTCGTTGCCTTTGCATCTCCTATGCTGTCCAGTCCTAATCTGTGTCTGTCCCTTCCGCCAGACTGAGAACTTCCAGGAGGGTCTGTGCCTTCTCCTGCCCCTTGTCCTACCCCAGAGCCTGGAACAGCGGTGCCATCCATGCCCACGTGCCCCATGACCCTGCAAACACCACTCGGGACCCCAGGACACCTGCTTGGGCCTTTCATTCATTCCGTGGAACCTGTCAGGGTGGGGTCTGTGTGTCCTGCATCAGGCGCAAGCCCCAGGGTGCTGACTGCCGGGCGTCCGTCCCTCTGCCCCCAGACCTGTCCTGGCCCACCCTCAGCGGGTGCCCCAGCCCCTCACGGTCTCCAGGCTGGACCCATGCTCCTTGATGGTGGTGAGCAGCATGTCGGCGGCTGCCTGAACGCGGAAGGGGCTGGTGGAGCCCAGGCCGTCAATGGCTGTCCAGATGAGGTCGGTCAGCTCTACCATCGTGAGATGCTTCATGACCTCCTGTAGCAGCAGGAGAGGGGGCAGCTGTCACTGTGGGCCACTTGTGCCCAGGTGCCCGCCTCCTGCCAGCTCTCTTCCCTTCTCCTTGGCTTCAGGCTGCCCAGGTCTCCGAGCATGGCCAGATGTCTGAGCTCCTCTCCTCCGGAACCCCACACGTGTAGCCCATTTTGCAGGTTGGCTGCCTGCGCATCTCTCTGAGCCAACCACGGCCCAGGTTCAGGAAGGGAGAGCGTGATGCCCATCATGGGGCAGAGGCCCGGCTCCCTTCCTCACTCAGACCCCAGTGTTTGTCCTGGGACCTGCCTGGCCCAGCCAGCCTCCTTTCCTCCTCTCCTCTGCCCTGTCCTCACCTCATGGGCTTCCCCATGTGTTAGCCTCTGCCCAGCTGGATGCTCCCCATGCCAGGCCCTAGTCCTCCTTACAGCATTTTAATCAAGAGCTTCAGAGCTGTGAAGGGTCTTCAAGGTCACCTGGACCAATCCCCAGACCCAGAGAGGGGCATGGGCACCCTCACCACGGCAGAGGCTAGGTCGAGAGCCCAGGGCTCATGTCCCATGGTAGGGCTTCCTCAAAAGCCCAACTGCTTTCTGCCCACGTTCTCCCAGGAGCAGCTCTAAGTCCAGATCATGAGCCACTCGGGGGGAATGAAGAGGGGCTTGGGGAAATGCAACATGGTGGGTGGGACCCCTGCTCCATAGCCACTGACCACAGTCTCTGAGAGGGAGGGCTGGGCCAGCCTGGGGCTGCCCAGGTAGAACCTTCTGGAAAGACTTAGAGCATTGTTGCCCACTATGGTAGCCACCAGCCACATGTAGCTATTTGTACGTAAACTTAATTAAGTAGAATTTAAAACCTCAGTTCCTCGGGAGCACTAGACACATTACAAGTGCCCGGTAGCCACATATAGCCAGTGGCTCCCTTGGTAGTGCAGATACAGACATTTCCATCCTCCCAGAAAGTTCTATTGGGAGGCTCTGACTCGGAGCATCTGATAATCAGAGGAAGACAGAAGGCTGGTGATGGGGCACCTGATAGAAAAGTATAAGGTCTGCAAGGACATTAGGGGGGTAACACGTTTCTTTGCATGTTAGGATATTTGTTGAAATATTTGACAGTCTGTTAGTCTACCTATATTAGATATAAAAATAAGTATTAAATAATGTTTGAATATTTATTAGAATAATTATTCTAAAATTTTGGTAAAATGTTTGTGAGAATATTAGGATTAGTTGTTGTTTAGAGTATTCAAAGTGATTTTAGAGGGATATTTGTAGTTCACAACTTTAAAAAAAGAATATTAAGCTGCTATAAATCTGGTTAGAACATTTGTTAGAAGATTACATTTAAAATTGTTTTCTGAAATGTTGAATTTTGGTTAAAGTTCTAGCATTGAGAATGTTTGTGAAGAAATGTAACTTGGAATGGTGGTTAGATTCTCAAAATCCCAGAATACTGCAATCTCAAGATTGGTAAATACCTGGGAGATGTCTTACTTTAACCCAGGGCATGAATAAATGTGAAATGGAGGTGGCAGTAATGGTAGAGATGGTGGTGATGGTGGTGGTGGTGGTGATGATGATGACAATGGTGATGAGGGTGGTGGTGGTGATGGTGATGGTGGTGGAGGTGATGGTGGTGATGATGGTGGTGATAATGGTGATGGTGATGATGGTGGTGATGATGATGATGATGATGGTGGTGGTGTGATGGTGATGATGATAATGGTGATGGTGGAGGTGATGGCGGTGATGATGGTGATGGTGGTGATGATGATGACGATGGTGGTGGTGATGGTGGTG